GGGGCTACCAGCCAAAGTGGCCTGGGGGGTGCTATGACCCCAGAGGTCAGAATTCGAGCTCTGTTCATTCCTAACTGGGGACGTCCTTCCACCTTGCTGGTGTCCAGTTTCCTCAGCGTAACATGAGGAAACTTGGTCTTATTCTACCTGTTTTTTTTTTTTTTTTGGTAAGGAACAAATCAGAGTACATAAAGTAAACTGAGGTACATCTTAAAGGGAAAGATATTTATTCCTTAGGTTGTCCTGGCTCTAACATTTTCTGATACTGGTGACATTTCGGAGAACCTCATTTGCGGTCAGGACCTCACAGGAGAGTGACAGGTGGTACAGAGGAGAGTTTCTTTCTTAGGAAATTTGAGCGCGAGGTGACTGGGCTGTGATGAATGTGGTTGCATGAATGGACATGGCTGGCTTTTTCTGATCTGGCTGACTAGGGGTAGGGGTTGGAGATCCTTCCTTTTTCTCTACTCCAGCTGGTGGTTCCTGAGACTGAGCCCTGAGCCAAGCAGATGGACTTCTTAGATGGTGGGAGACGCCGCTTTATCTAGGGTATTCCAGTGTCTGAGCGCTTTTGATACACTCTGTAAGCAAGCCCTCAAGGTTACTTTTAGCCAAATCTTGCTACGAAGAGCTTACCCAAAGATAAGTACCCGGAGGAACCTATCCAAATGCACACTTTACACGGTTAGAAGCTGTACACAGTGGTGCTTCTCCCCTGGTAGGCCCGCAGGATGGTTTTCTCTTGAATAAATGGATGAGTGAATGTCAGGTACTATTCATCTTACAGCAAGCAGCCTCCTCTGTCACGGAAAACGTGATTCACGAAAGGAGGAAAAGTCCCGTTTCTTGTTTAAATGGTAATATTTTACCTTCCTGCTGCTCCTGTGATCTGACCCTGATCCTAATTCTCCTCACGGACTTTAATCCTGATGATTTCCAACCCACAGACCCCCAAGGCTGCAAGACGCTCTTCAGAGTCTTAAGTGAGCCCTTGTATCCGGCATGAGAAAGTAAATGTAATTACTGACGCCGATCGTAACGTGACCAAAAGCAGTATTATGACAGCTGGTAAGTCTGAAATAGTAATACACATCTTATTTCTCATTATTAAAATAAGTGCCCCTTTCATGGGCTCTTTTTTTTTAAAGAAATATTATTGTACAAGAAAAGGAAATGAAAAGACTACTCATGAATAGAGTTGAACATGCAAATGAGAAGTCTGGCCTCGGCTAATACGGTACTTATCAGACGTCTCTCAATTTTAGGGGGTAAGACCTTCACAAAGAAGACTGAATTGGTAGGGGAGAGGCAGGTGTTTTCGGCGGGGTAATTTAGGAAGTTCTTTTATCGTAATCATATTCTTTTTTTAAAAATTAACAATGGAAAATAAGCTTCCTTAAAAACAAAGCAGATATAAAATGGGTGCCAAACTAGTAGAAGAAAGTTTGATGAGGAACTGAACATTTGCATAGTTTCAAAGTATCTTTCCTTCAGTGGTTGAGGGAGGGTGTAGCTCAGTGGTAGCGCACAAGGCCAGCAAGCACAAGGTCCTGGGTTCAATCCCCAGTACCTCCATTAAATAAATAACCCTAATTACTCCCCCAACTGAAAAACAACAAAAAACCCCCCAAAACCGAAAAAATAAAAAACAAAAACAACACTTGCAAAGTATCTTTCCTTCAAATTATTAATTACAATAGTTAAAAAAATCACTTTGTAGTGGAGAAATGTGGCAGACACCACCTTACCCAAGAGATCAAACATCACCGATATTGGGATAATCTGCTATCTTGGACTTCCTGACACAACATACTGAGGAGCACGTCACCTCTGTGGTCACAAGGGAATGTTGAAAAATCTCAAACTGGAGGCTAGTCTACCAAATGACTGGCTTAGGTTTTTCAAATGTCAAAGGTCAAAGAAAGGCAGAGGAACTGTTTCTGATTAAAGAAGACTAAAAAAGATGTGACAACTAAGTGTATAATGTGTAATTCTGGACTGGATCCTGGACTAGGGGGAGATGAAACAGGTTTTATTGGACAAAGGGAAAAAATTAAATATGAAATGTGGGTTAGAAACAGTATTTTAATAATGTTAAATCTCCCAATTGTGATGGTTATGTAAGAGATTGTTCTTGTTCGTAGGAAATTCATCCTAAAGCAGTTACGGGTAAAGGGGCAAGACATTTCAACCATTCAGACAGTAAGATGCGTGTATATGTGTGTGTATACATGTCTGTGCATGTGTGTATATGCGTAGTTAGCTAGGTAGGAGGTTGTGGAAGGGTGTTCCAGGTAGAAGGACTGGTTCTACAAACAGAAATTCATAGGTGTGTCCTACAGAGCACACAAAGTCAGGGACAAAGAGCAGGGAAAGTTGAGGCTGGAGAGACAGACCAGTGCCTGGCAGCCTATAAAGGCTATTGATGATGCTGAAAGTAAGATGTCCTGGATAGTTGTAGGCAGGGAAGCGACGTGATTGGAGCTGTGGGTCCCAGGTGTTATTCTGGCTGTGAAGCAAAAGAGATGGGCTGGAGGAGCCAAGACTGGGGGCCAGGAGGCAGTTCCTTCACCCACTGCTTCTCCTTTGCTCCAGATAAATTACTTCCTTCCAAAGGTAGAACAGGAAACAAAGGGGGATTGTGCAATCCTTTGATGATCTGAGGTGTGGTTCACTGCTGCTTTCAGACAGGGAGGGCATGTCTGAAGCAATGCTCCAAAGTCCTTGTAGCCATAAAATCTCTCATTCTTGTTTTTTGATATGGCGCCTTCTGCTAACAATAAACTTGAGGGTTATTTAATTTTGCTAATCAACACTCAGATTGCCTCTGGCTTGAAGTAGTATTCCTCTCTATCATTAATATTACTTTTCCACTGAGCAGAATGTCCCCTAGATGGGGCGCGGTGGGCATTCCTATATGGTGGACCATTAGCCTAAGATACTGGGTTAATTACAGTTTGCTAAGAAATTTTGTTCTTATTCCCACACTTTCTCCATCCTGGCCAGCTCACGTTGTCAATTAACCCTAGTTCTTTTCTTTTACATTTTAATGAATTCAGGTAAACCCCATCTTTAGCAAATTCCATATTTATTGTTAGGGGTCAGTTAATCAGTTATTCATTGAATCAAAAGGAAAAAAACTTACTGACCCCTTGTTTCGTACCAGGTGAGTGAAACCTAGACATCCACTCCACTCCCCCTGGAACCTGCCCTCTGGTGAGGCTGAGAGATTTTAAACTGATAAAAACAAATATATATTCACCAACTGGGATAAGTGCCACAAAGGAGGAAAGGGTGCAATGTCATTGCAGGATGGAGGGATATGACCTTGTCCCTGAAGAGGTGGGGCTTGAGCTGAGATCAGGGGATGAGAGGTGACTGCGTGGAATAGTGTGTGTGTGTGTGTGTGTGTGTGTGTGTGTGTAAGTAAGTGAACAACGAGGAAGAAGCCACATTTGCAAGCTTTCTGTGGCTAGAGCAAACTTGTTGACTGTAAAAATGGAAAGGGTGGACCTAGAGATGATCATACTAAGTGAAGTAAGTCAGACAGAGAAAGACAAATATATGATATCACTTCTATGTAGAATCTAAAAAAAATGACACAAGTGAACTTATTTATAAAACTGAAATAGACTCACAGACACAGAAAACAAACTTACCACAGGGGAAAGCGGTGGGAGAGAGGGATAAATTAGGAGTTTGATGAGCAGATACACACAACTATATATAAAATAGATAAACAACATGACCCGACTTTATAGCACAGGGAACTATATTCAATATCTCGCAATGGCTTATAATGAAAAAAAATATGAAAAGGAATATATATATGTGTATATATGTGTGTGTGTATATTTATATATAACTGAATCACTGTACTGTACACCAGAAACTAACACAACATTGTAAATCAACTACACTTTAATTAAAAAAAAAATTGTAAGGAAGACCCAAGTAGGGCTAGAAAGCAGGAAAAAGTGACCAGAGGGTTATTTTCCCTTTATGTGCAGTTCTCTAAAAACAGTATCAATTGGTCAGGACCATGGGGGGTTTAAATTAAATTTAATCTACACTCAGATTTTTGATAAATAATGCACTGTCCTGATATTAGAATTTATTAGAATCGAAGAAAGTTTGGCCTTCAATTAACCACAGGGGCTTTTAAAGCACTCCACCCTCAGGTCAAAATGTGTCAATCTCACGGAAACAATTTCCAGTGAGATACTGAGTTAATAACCAATAACTACCTTAGAAAAAAGTCTGGGGTTGGCATGTCTTTGAATCCATCAGTTATATCAGTTTTCCCCAAACTGCAATCACTCTGAGTCACTTTCCAATTCCTGCCATACCTTAATATCATCAGTTTTACTAAGTGCAATGTATTTTATTTCAAGTCAACTCACTTTTTAAAAGCTTAATCAACTTTAGCTTTTTGCTAAAGTAGTGAGTGATATATGAAATGAGGGGTTTGACAAACTTACTATTTTTTTTGTTGTTTTCTTTTTTTTAAACATTTTTTATTGATTTATAATCATTTAACAATGTTGTGTCAAATTCTAGTGTTCAGCACAATTTTTCAGTCATACATGGACATATACACACTCATTATCGCATTTTTT